TCCCTCTCCTTCTCCTCCCTCTCTTCCCCCCCTTCCTCTCTCTAAAACCAATCAATCAATATATTTTTTTAAAACATCAACAGGTTGGAAAGAACTAGAGTGGAGTTTCTCTGCATCAGACATGATTAGCCAGGCAGATGGAGCATCCTGATCAACCCCCAGACTTGTACCCCTGAGGTCAGGGAGAGTGGCATGATAAGGGACAGCATGATATGATAGGGAAAGCTCTGGGGACCCAGAGCACAGGGCTGTGCACCCTAGCTCTGCCTCACTGGTTTGCAGTCATAGGCAAGTTGCTTAATAAACTAGATTTAGTTGCCTTTTCTGGAAAATAGAGTCATAACGCTGTGGTGAGGATTAAATAATATAGCAGGGAAGGTGCTTGTTGGTGGGTGTTAATAAATATTGGTTCCCCCTCCATGCTGCAGCCCTCTCTGGCCAGGTTCTAAATGAGAGAACGTGGGTTTTCAGGTTAGGGGGCTCAGCCTTTCCCTGCCCCTCCACAACCCTGGAATCCATTGATCTGGGAGGCTGTTTACTTACAAGGCTCATCAGGATTAGGTATTTAATCAGTATTAATTATTGTGTGATGGGAAGAACACCAAACCAGGCACCAGAAGACCTATGGAGAGTGTCCTCCATAGGATTACTGGCAGAGTCAAATGAGTTAATGTCTCTGAAAGTGCCTTATAAACTGTCAAACTCTGTATAGATGTCCGGGAGGCTTCCTGTTTCATTTCTACTTTTGCATTTCTGACCTTTCCTGAAGTGCCCACACAGACAGAAGGGAAAGACAGGAAAGAAACTTCATTATTTGACTGTCTTTTGACAGTTCTGGGAAGAGGCCCAAAGAGTAGAGATCGAAATGAAGGCTCTAAGGGTCTTCCTTGACCATCTGCAGGTTCTCTTTCTCTCATCTATGTTACCAAGGAGTTGACTCCTGCACTCTTTCCTTCATTGCATCTCTGAGGGGGGGAATTGCTCAAGTATGTTGATTTCCCTTCCTCACCTCAAAAATACAAGGAGAAAATGTAAATGCACCTGGTGGAGGCTTCTTCTGAAGATGTATTATAAGATTTATGTTTCCCCCAAGGACACCTCTGAGGAAGGGCTTTTCCTCAAGTCTCCTTGGGGGTGGCCAAACTATGGGAAGGGGACAACTAGGACTGTAATGAGGTACCTCAGTCACCATTCCAGGGGTTCCAACTGTGTCCGTGCCAAAGAATACTTGTGACCACAGCTGACTGAGTATGTATGATGTGCTGGACACATAAACAATCTCATTTAATCCCCCACCACACCCATTTTACAGAGGAAGAAACTGAGTTTCTGAGGTGTTAATAATAACTTACCCAGCTTGTCATGGCTGACCGAGATTCACGTCTAAGCAACTCCACATGGCATAATCTCTCTGCAAAGGCCCAGAAGCATCAAATAACCCTTGCCTCTGGTGCCCTCCCTTATCAGTTGCCCTTTGTCAGGGGTGGAGCAGCACTCCTATCAGACGCATCTGTGAGCTAGTCCCTATTTATCTTCCAAAATAGCTACTCTGATGTTTTTCATTTCAGGGTCTCATCATGAAAAATATGGCAATGACACCATAGACACAGGTCAGTATTTCCTGGTGTGGTTATACTGGGTTTGGTGTGTGTTTATTTTTAAAGATGTGATGGAGGGTTCTCCTGAGATAATGGGTGGGTCACCTTCTGCAGTTTAACTCCTGAATCCTTTCAGGAGACCTCACTTTTAGAGGATCCGCCTGCTACACCTCCAAAGAGGGCACCTTAAATGGCAAGGCTGGGTAACGTTTTTTAAATCACTTGGGCAAGCAAAGGAAATAAGGTACCAACCATATTTAGTGAAAAGAGGTCATCCTTGTTTCCTAGGTAGACCTTTGTACCTTTTTTTTTTCTTTTTAATGAAGTATATAGGCTAAAGGCCAGATAGAAATGTGAGAGAAAGATTCTTTTTCCCAGAAGGCACCAGACTAATTTTTTTTTTTTTATTTAGCCAAAACGGGTAAAACAGTAACATTTGGCTTATTCTAAGGCCCCAGTTGCGTTTCTTAGGCTAGGGAGCCAAGCTCTGCCTGGTCTGGATCCCTCTCCTTGGCCTGTGGTGTGAGGGTCAGCACAAACACACACCTGAACCTGTGGGCTTGGCTTGCCTTGTTTCCCCCAGATGTCCTGCCCACCACTGGCGTGATGCCCCCACCACTGAAGCCCAGGAAGGTCTGGATTGTCTACTCCGCCGACCACCCCCTCTATGTGGATGTGGTCCTAAAGTTTGCCCAGTTCCTGCTCACTGTCTGTGGCACTGAAGTGGCCCTCGACCTGCTAGAGGAGCAGGTCATTTCAGAGATGGGGGTCATGACCTGGGTGGGCCGCCAGAAGCAGGAGATGATAGAGAGCAATTCCAAGATCATTATCCTGTGCTCCCGAGGTACCCGGGCCAAGTGGCAGGCCATTCTTGGCTGGGAGGAGCCTGCCATCCAGCTTCGATGTGACCACCAGAAGCTTGCTGGGGACCTTTTCACAGCAGCCATGAACATGATCCTCCCAGATTTCAGGAAGCCAGCCTGCTTTGGCACCTACATTGTCTGCTACTTCAGTGACATCAGCAGTGAGAATGATATCCCCGACCTCTTCAACATCACTTCCAGGTACCCACTCATGGACAGATTGGAGGAGGTTTACTTCCGGATTCAGGACCTGGAGATGTTTGAACCTGGCCGGATGCACCGCGTTGGGGAGCTCACAGGGAAGAACTACTTGCAGAGTCCCAGTGGCTGGCAGCTCAAGGAAGCTGTGGAGAGGTTCCGGGCGTGGCAGGCTCAGTTTCCTGATTGGTTTGAGCGTGAGAACCTCTACTCAGCAGATGACCAGGACCTACCATCCCTGGGTGAAGAGGTGTCTGAAGAGCCACTGCTGTCACCCAGAAGAGGGATTGTCAAGCAGAAGCCCCTGGTGCAGGTGCCTGCCACTGAGGGCCACCTGGTGGTGGAGCTGTTCACCGCTGAGGAAGGCAGAGGAGTGGCCAGGCTGCAATCTCAGCTTCAGTTCCAGAGGCAGGTGGTGGCCCAAACCCTTCAAACCGTGGTGCTCCCCCTGGAGGCAGTCCCTCCTGCTCAGGCCATGGAACCTGTCCCTCCTGTTGTTAGGAGCGCAGCTAGTCTGTTAGCCGTTGTGGAAGGAGATGAGGCCTGCCCACTGCTGGAGGGCTGTGACCCTCAGCAGAACTCAGAGGACCTACCTCTCTGCAGCACCCCAATGGCATCGCCAGACCACCTCCTAGAGGAAGAAAGGGAACAGCTCGAAGGCTTGATGCTCTCGCTCTTCCAACAAAGTCTGAGCTGCCAGACTCCAGAGGGGTGGGAGAGACCAGCAGTAGCCCTCAAATACTCATACACACCCTATGGGGAGGGGCAGCGGGAGTCAGTGCAGTCTGACCAGGGCTACATCTCCAGGAGCTCCCCACAACCGCCTGATGGACTGGTGGAAATGGAGGAAGACGAAGCAAAGCAGGACCTAGGAAAGTTGGCCAAGCAACTCCCCCCTGAGGCTCTGGAAAGCCTGAGAAGCCTCCAGCAACAGCTTTTCTTCCAAGAGCTTCAGAAGAACTCTGGCTGGGACAGTATGGAGCCAGAGAGGCCAGTCACATAGGGCCTCCCAGAACCAGAGCATTGAGAGAAGGGAATGTACACATATCTGTATATGTATATATATTCATGTGTGAAATGATACCTTTAAAATTTAGACATCTGGATTTTAATGCCTAGACATCCCTCTTAATTTTTCTTTTTAGAACCACCTAATTATCTTTCATCCCCACAAAAATCTATAGCCCATTCCCAGGAGCTATTGGCAGTGCCCTTGAGTCTCCATTATTCATTTATTCAGCATTCATTTTGTACCTACTATGTGCCAGGCATCTGAGATACAAGGATAAATTGCACCTATCATTGGCCCTGATCACTAAGAAAATTAACATGTAGTGAGAGATTAGCAAATAGAGGATGGTCATGCAAGACGTAAAGGCTGAACAGAGGCCTGCCCAGGGCTATGAAAACACACAGAAGGAGCACCTGGCCCAGGGAGAAATCCTGGAGTGGGTGATGTTTGAGCTGAAGGAGAGGCTAGTTTCCTGGGCCAAGAGATTGTGGTTGGAGAAGGCACCAGTCCCTGGAATAGTAAGGGCTGGGAGGTGAGTGGGAGCCAGGCCCATCAGCAAACTGCAGATTGAGCCTGGAGAGCAAAGGAGACATGAGAGAGGTGGTGGAGAGTTATCCAGAGCCCAGGCTGGGAGTTGGGACATCAGCCTAAAGGTCTGGGACTCCTTGGATATGATTAGCTGTTGCCCTGCAGAAGAGGAGGCTGAGGGCCAAACATACCTGGAAGCCACCTCAGATCATTTTGGAAGAAACAGGATAGACAACTGTGATATGAAACTGAATAGCATTTATCAGGGAGGAAAGTCTGAAGCCCTGAGCTCCCAGAGCTATAACAAAGGCTGCTTCAGGGGCTGCTGGCTGGGAGCCCTCAGCTCCACACTGGGGTCCAACAGCAAAGTGAATTGAGTATGAGATATGGAGTGTCCATAGCAGGGTGGGAGTGGGAGGGCAGTGAGGTTCTGGGCAGGCCCGTTGTGGGGAGAGGAAAGTGTGCCACTCTGTTCTTAAAGGTCTGAGGTTCTAAGACAATATTTGAGGAGAAATGCTAAGGCTCAGAGTTTGAAGTTTTTCCCAGAATAGCACACTGGAAAGCTGTCTGCCCGTCATAGTGGCCTGAACAAACTAAGAGAGAAAAGGCACTGAGCCCTCCCAGCTTCCTGAGTTCCATCTCTTCAGTAATCCTGGAGGTGGACATCATTGTGTCCAGATGCCCACCAAGCTCTGTGAATAAGCACTTACTGAATGTCCTGAATCAGAGTGTGGAATACCGTGGTGGATTCTTCCCTTGCTGGAGTCAGGGTTCTACGTGGCAGCAGAATGGCCCAACCAGTGTAGTCCTGGTGTCCAGAAACACTTCCATTTGGATTGTGTTCCCCACAAACCTTGGATATGATTAGCTGTTGCCCTGCAGAAGAGGAGGCCTAGCTTTGTTGGCCTTTGAGGCCAGGTGTCTTCAATTGGCATTGTCCACTATGACCCCTTTATGTCCAGGACTGCTGCTTTTTTTTTTTTTTTTCGTAACAGCTTAATTATTGAGCTATAATTCACATGCCATACAATTCACAATTGACCCTGTGCAGTTCAGTGGTTTTTAGGAGTTCAGCAATCAACATAATCAATTTTACAACATTTTCTTACCCTCAAAAGAAACGCAGCAGCCCTTAATCATCACCCCTAAACCCTCTAACCATCCTGTCCCTAGGCAACCACTAATCTTTCTGTCTGGATTTGCCTGTTGTCAGTGTCATATATAATGGAATCATAAAGTTCCCCAGGCTTCTTGAATCTCTTTAATGCCATTCCTTTGTTGTTTCCACATTCCTTCTGCCTTCCCTAGGGCCCCCAAATCTCATACTAGTCACCATAGTGCTAGAAATTCTGAGTGTGGTGTTTGCTGTCAGCCAAATACCAAGAACTTCAAGAGCCCCTCCAAGAACAGATGTCCTCCAAGCTATGACTCTGTGGCCCTGCTCCTAAATAGACTGCAGCAGAGGTGGGTCAGGGTGGGCAGAAGGACCCAAAGCCAACATGTGACCAAAACATGCAAGGGAGCAGCTGCCTGTGACTGCTGTCCAGTGCAAGCCTCTGAACTCCAGGTGGATTTCCATAAGTTTTTCCTGCCTGCCTTCTTGATCCTACTTAGGGGGTGGGGAAAGGCATGATTAGATGGCAGGCAATCTGGACATAGCTTGATTTAGTGCTGCTTACACTGATTTTAAACCAGTTTCTCTTTCTGCCTGGGAAGGCCATCAGCTGTGATTCAGTTTTGAGGGAGTTTGTTCACTTAAACATTCAGTCGTTTGAGCTGGAATCTCCGAATGCCAGGCTATGATGGATTTCATTTATTTCCTGCTGTTCTTTTGAGTATTAAATAAGGCATAAGGGAGAAGAGAAGAAGCTGTACTATGGGCAATTTTCGTTCTGTGGCCTTTAGGCTCTACAGTTGGTATTCTCCTTCCCAAATTAAGTCAGGGGAGAGCCAGCTCTGTTCTGCTCCAGCACCTCCTGAGAAGACCTGCCAGTGAAGGGCCACAAGGCACAGTCTGCTCCAGGCTCTACAAGACAGTGGGGGCCCAAGTATGCTTGGACTCAGAGTAAAATGCAGAGCTGGCATTCCAGCCCTGGCCCTGGGCCTCAAGTCAGGTGTGTTGGAGAGTTTCCCTAAAAGAAGGCTGAAGACAGTTAACACGAAGTTGGGCCTCTGGCTCTGCTGCTTGCCAGCTGAGTGACTTAAATCAAGATGTCTTCCTTAAGCCTGTCAACCAATGATCATTGGTGCCAATTCAATAGCAACAGGAATCCTCAATTTGGGGTGTGGTGAAGAAGAAACTTGATTCAGTGCAAAACAGCTCAATTATGGTACAGCACAGCTGTGAAAACAGCACAGTTGTGAGGCAGCCCTGGGACCAGGTGGCCCCCAGGGCTGACTGGGGCCAGACCCCTCTCAGGCCAGACAGCTCTGCTCTGTGCAGGTCTGCTTTGTGCTCTGCTGCTCTGCTCTTGTCTCTAAAATGGGCACAGTGGGCCCAGCTGGCGTGGCTCAGCGGTTGAGCATTGATCTATGATCCAGGAGATCGAGGTTCAATTCCGTCAAGGCTCATGCCTGGGTTTCGGGCTTGATCCCCAGCAGGGGGCATGCAGGAGGGATGCCCATCAATGACTGTCTCTCATTGGTGCTGTTATCTCTCCCTCTCCCTCTCACTGAAATCAATAAAAATATTTTTTAAAAAATAAAATGGGCACAGTGGGAATTCCTACCTCACAGAGGTTTTGTGAGAAGTGACGAAATATACATGTGAAGCACTTTTAGGTGGTGTCCTACACCCAGGAAACACTCGACACACAGTAGCCATACCTCAGTCAAGGTTTCCACGCCTCCCGCACTGCTGCCTTCGTAAGGAGTCCAGAGACTTCCTTAGGTTTCTTTGCTTCTTAGCAAGAAGCACTCTGACATGATTCTGGGTCAGCAGTTTATGAAACCAGGATACTGTTTACCTTTCCTCTTGCTACTGCTTTCTTCATCAAATGTTTGCCTCTTCAGATTATAAAAGTAATGTATGTTCCAATACTTGGCATATATTAAGAGCTCAATAAATGTGTTTTCTGAGTGAATATGCTCATTTGGGGAAAACAGAAACAATATAGATTATATGTTATAGAAGAATATAAAATAAAGCAACTGCCCCAGACAATAGGTATAGGCTATGAAGTTGTGGTGCCCTACTGCTTTCTACCAGATGGGACCCTTGTTAGATGCCTGCTTCCCACTCAGTGCTCCCAACATCACTCCTAAATGGCTTCTAGGTCCATCTCCTATCTTTTGTCCTCTCCCCAGCTCTCCATGCCCTACTTCCTCTCCCAGATCTTGGTACTGGGGCCACACTCTCATCCTGTCCATCCTGTTAAGGGAGGCAGGGCACCCTGTTGAGCCAGCTTGCCTGTTAGGAACATGAAGTTCCCTCTCATGATTTGAAGGATGCCAAGAAATCTTGTCCAATATGCCTTCTCTCCATCCAGGTACCTAGATTCCTTTACTAGGAGTAATGGGCCCTTAGGTTATTAACACTTCAGTATAAATTAGTTTACCAGATCCTTTCTGAATAGAAATAGTGCCCTGAGAGGACAAGAGAAAGGAGAAAGGGAGGCAAAATTGGCTGGCCCCCACTTTTGCCTGTACACTGATACGGTGTCTTGCTAGGTATCTTTTTTTTTTTTTTTTTTTTTTTTTTTTAACCACTA